AGCATAGCCGAAAGGCAGCTTCAGCACCAATAACTGCAAATTTTATGATAATTACTGTGTAATTCTAGACTACGCAAGTTAATTTCCTTTAGCGTGATGAAATGCAATGTTTTTTTTTCCCACTCTGCTGCACAATGATTGGAATTTGAGATTTGTGTAGCACCCAAGAGAGGGCAGTGGCATATTTTCAAGAGTAAGGAATCATTTATCCTAAAAAATTGTGCATGAATGGACATGATGTGGTGTTAATGGGAATGTACATAGAAAACTAATAAGCATGGTTAAAATCAAGAATAATTCAATGCGTAATTATAAAAAAACATAAATTTTTACTTTGTTTTGATTGTTTTTATTACATATTTTTACACATAAATTTTTTTTTATTNTACACAGAAGCAATGATTTTCCGGGCTGTCGGGATGGGAAGTCACAAAGATTTTCACCATTCGGCAAATATTGTCTGACCATTCGACATACCTACAAAATATCATATTCTCCCTTTTATTTATGTATATTTTATATATATATAATGCATGAGACCGCAAACGGAAATTCCTAAATAAATATTATGCATATTTACCTGATTTTTGTAAGGACTTTTGAAATATAGTATTCTTATTCATATTTATTTTGTATTTTATTCAAGTGAGTTTCTGAATTTTCTTAAAATAATAAATCTCTAAGGAGTTTCGGATAGTTCCAAAACCAATCCTATACAAATCTTCGAAGAAACGTCATTATAATACCAACAATGATTAAGAAACCCAAGAAGTCGGGGCTTACTTATATTCATTCCTGCAGAAAATGTTCTTTGGATCGTTGCTCCTATTCATGGAAGGAAAAAAAAGAACAGAAACCTGAAAGCAGGACGGACAGAGTATTAATGCGAATTTTATTGAAACAGACGACAAGGGCTTTTCTGTTTATAGTAAGTCATCCGATTCAATGGCTTTCCTTCTTTTAATGTTAAAAAGAGTTTTTGCATACATAATACTTCTTCAAAAGCTTATTTTTACCATTCACATATAACTGAAACTCATTTTTTAATATTATGGTATATCTTCTTATGGTATATTATGGTTATTCTTATAAATTTTTGATGTTTATTGAATACATAGATTTAAAAGTCTCAGTAATACTTAAATAAATGAACAAATTTATTTTTTGCATTCTTTTTAAGTAGAAAATAAACATTTGATTGAATATGCAGACTTTTGTGCACACCTGTATACTGCTCAAAATAAAAACTAGATCCCCTGAATAACTTCTAATCTAATGATCGGATCTTCACGTTCTAGAATTTAATCTTAATGGTTCAAAGGAGTGAGCTCCAATATGCTAAATAATTAGTGCAGACGTGATTTTAAGTTAGGAAATCAGACACAAAAACGTAATTCCTCTGTACAAACATACTTTATTTTCAACGAATTCAGATTTTCGACTACCACAATATAGGTGGGTAACCGCAATCTGAGATACATGGCCCAATAGCTTGGTCAAGAGAGCTGTTTGGACCCCTTAATAATGATTTTACTTTTCGAGTACTTCCCTTATCTCGAGAACTTTTTAAGCAAATTGAAAAATTGATTCAATAACGTAAACTCATTGTTGTTGCATGAACAATGTATTTAATTGAAACTTTAATTTTAACAATTTAAAATTCTTTGGAGTAAATCGAACTCTATCCAGATAGCAGTGTAATGTTGATTTTAATGCTAGCAACAACCTTTATCACATACTCCAACAAGGTTTTTAAATGATTTACAAATAAACCATGAATGCTGAAAACACTGTTAAATTTAACTATGCAAATTTATGCATTGCGAGCTTCGCATTAAGTTTAGATAAACAGCTCTTACATTGAGATTGAATCTGCCTTTATAGAACAAGGCTCGAAAAACTTTCTGAAATTGAGAATGAATCATCATTCACAAATCAAGAGTAAAAATAAGCATTCTTAAACCAATGATTCACTTACTCAAGATTTGTTTTAAATTATGTGACTATCACATTAACAATGATTTTCCGGGGCACCAGGATGGCAGGTCACAAGGATTTTTACCATTCGGCAAATATTGTCTGGCCATTCGACATACTTACAAAATATCATATTCTCCCTTTTATTTATTTATTTTTTAGCTATTGTCAATCACGCGTCTTGGTGCTCTTATTTCCGAATACATACAAGCCAGTTTCATCCGAAATCGATAGATACAAATTAGCTTATAATAGTAACTTTTTGTAACAAGGAAATTTACGAGCACACTATTTTTCAAACTGTGAGCACGCTAGTAATGTATAGTTGAAACAGTTGTTAGTTTAATTCGTTTCGACTGCAAAATTTAGAAACAAAAACTATTCAATACCTTATATTATTAAAATGAACTACTGTTCTCCTCCTGCTATTGAATTATTTTACCTTCATTTAATACATGCGCGGCCCTCACGATTTTCTGAATTATTACTGAGACACTAGGGTTGCAAAAGCCTCCTTAAATTAATGTACTTATTTATGAATTTTATAGTGCTCCGATCATATTTAATTTCTAAACTGCCATCATAAACTTCTTTAGCACCACATTATTGATTGTCAAATTGTTTATATATTAAGTTAAATTGATTAGGTATAATGGTGAGCAATACGTTTTAAATCAAATTTATTAAACACTGAATAAAATATCAAAGTATAAGTTTTGCTGACACTTAAAATATTAAAGTGAAGTCTTCCAGGGAAAATAGGAAAAGTTTACAACCATTTTGTATGAAGCTTCTATATGAAGCTATATAGCGTCATATAAAATGAAGCTTAAATGAAGCTTGGTGATGTAGCTACAATTATAGCTTCATCTCCAAGAAGCATTTTTAGAGTCGCTTTTAATGTTCTTTTATTATAATATGTAAGAATAATTAAAGGCGCTAATTTATTATTCGATCAAAATAGGAATTTAATTCTTTCCCTTCCCAAAAATATAAGTTTACGGCTCCTGATGATTATTAGAGCAGACTTTTATATACTTTCTTTAACACTTTAATTTTTTTATCTTTTTAATTTCTCTAACATTTTAATTTTTAAATTTAAAAGTGAAGGTTGGCCTGATCATTAAACCCTCTACACAAACAAAATATTGCATTTTAGAGCCTGAACGAAGCCAGAACGAAAAAAGACGAAAATGTGTTTTACAGTAAAAGCTAAGAGTTATGATATTTTTTGTAAAACTTTTCTATACTTTCATTCAAGCGAACAAACTTCGCATATTAACATTTCCACTAAGCTGAACAAATGATAAATTAGTCCATCTTTCTATGACAACCAAATGAAAATACAACGTTTGCCGTAAATTTGCCTGTTATCAGGATAAAGACATAAATCTGAGATTTTTCTTAGAACATTTATTTCATTATGTTTAGATATTCAACAGCATTATCTATGTAATGCTGGGCCAAAATCAAAAAATTGTGATCTTCGGTCTAGACAGAAAACCCAGAAAGTATTGAAGATTACTCTTGATCAAAAGCTCATAAAGGGAATATGATTTGTTTCTCTTTTCTACTTTTTTCCTTAACAGTAACTATTGAAGAGATTTAGAGGAAAATCTTTATCGAAAAGCAGACGTATATCTATCAAAGAAGTTGTAAATAAGTTGTCATTGAAAGAATTTCTTTCAAGTATTTACTTTTTGGGATAATTATTTATTTATTTATTTATTTTTTTGCAGCAGGTGATTTTTTAAATCTTTTCTATAACATGTTATTATATGTAATACCTTGGAATTAATTTTTTTGCAGATATTAAGAGCTGTTTAACAAAAATTATCACGATTCGTATCTAGCTGGCCTTCAAATCTGTTTCAGCATTTTTTTTTCCATATTGTCAAAATATTTCAATTTCTGTGAATACGTCAGTTATATGTGCAATCATTATCATAATTAATTTAATAAAAACACAGTATAGACTTGATATTTTTTCGATTTGGTTAGATGTGGCTAAATGCCAAATAAAACAGAAGAATACCTGAATGTAAGGATATTCTGAGGCTACCAGAATGTTATGGGAATACCAGAATGTTTGGACATAATTCAATGTGTCCAATCCAAAAGGTTTGAAATGTATTTAAGGAACAAAATAGTTGTTTTGTACTAATAAAGGGAAAATGAAAAGAATAATACAAATACCATTTGCAGGCATTCTGGAGTAAGATGTGAATAGGGGTTAAGACCACCATGAAGTACGATGTAAATTTCCAGACGTCGTGGCATTCTTTGCTCAACAGCATTCAGCAGATGTTGTGGCAATTCGTCCCATTCCTTCAGAGGAGAGTGTCCTTGTATATTGCTGGACATTCTTGCAAAGCAACTTTCCTCCTCAAAGCATCCCACATATTTTCAATAGAATTCAGATCTTGAAAACGTGCTGCTTATTCGAGGTGCTCAATATCATCTCTCTGTACACACCGCTCTCCAGCGACTCTTCGAAGACACGTCCGTAAAAACAAATTTATCACCTAAGGCACTAAGGAACAAATGAACATGTGGCAGAAGAATATCATTAATTTAACGTTTACCAGTTAGAAGCACCTAGTTAGACGCACGATTCCAGTTAGAAGCACCTAGAGGGGAGCATGGACATTAATCATAACGCCAGCCTATACCATGACACTAGATGTAGGATATCTGCCCCTTTCCTGTATGTTTTATGACTCTATGCAGTAATAGGGGGTACACAATATGAACCTATAGGTTACAATGTATGTATCTGTATAACAGTGTGCTGAATAGCGTTAAAATGAGGATCTCACGCTCACGCCAGATAATTTGGCTTCGACAATTAGACGAGAGATTGAATCTACTCTCATCTGAAAATAGTACGGAAGCTCAATTCTCTTCATTCCAACAAGCGATGCTAAAGATACCATTGCTAACAGGAGTTATGGTAACGTCTGGACAATTGTTATATAATGAGAGGTATTATCTTATAATTTCATTTATCTTATATTTATCAGATAATGCAGCGGGTGTACAGTCCTCCTGCTTGCAAGCATCTGGCTACTGTTTTTCGAGAGATTTGCTTGCCAAAAGCAGTATGAATTTGATTTTCTATCTACTGCACTGGTTCCTTTCTGCAGATAGTCCTACTCCTTCCTCAAACGCCGAAGATAGAACACGATCTCCCGTGACGTCTACTATACATTCNTTAAAGTAAAGTTATATGCTATAAAATGGCGAATTTGTCATTATCCTGGCTTGTGAATGCCAGGACATTGAAGTGTTACCAGAATTTTTTTTTAACTGTTAGTACTGTAAGGAGGGAAAGCAAATATTAACCTAATACTAAGTTTACGTATGATTGTAATATGCTTGGATCTAATCAAAGTTATTTATTTCTTTAATGATTGATTATTATACACAATTTTATTCTGTACATATTAGCAACAAAACATTTTTTGTTTCTTTCAACAGTGGATAAAAATAATTAATTTAAGTAATTTATGGTACATCTAACATAAAGGCTTAAATTGAGTTCCTTACTATTAACCTAAAATGACCGTTTTTTAAACTTCTAAGATAATATGCCATTTTCCTGGAATTTGAGATTTGGTGAATTTCTATTTTATTTTTTCTCTCGAGCAAATGTCAATAAACTACACTGCTGTCTGTACGATATTAATAAGTGTAACTAAAGAAGTATACAAAAAATTTTTTAGGTTATTTTGAAGACTGAATTTCAAGAAACTTTTTGGTCCGAATTGTCATGTTCAAAAAGAATCACCCATATAACAATGTCAAAAATTTTTATATTTGTCAATGACGACTTTTTAGCACTTAAAACTTTAAAATCATTTCCTTTATTGACTTTGTGCTCAAATTCTTTCCTCTTTATTTAAACCTACAATTTTAATGCCATAGATAAGGCTGCAATATCAATGTTGCGTAGCCAGGCAGTGAGTTTGTAAATGGGGTGCGAACAGCCTAAAAATTAACGCTTCAAATACTTAAAATTAGAGTAACACTTAATAGATTCAGACCAATGTCGCCAAAGGCACAAACGAAAAACCGCGAAGTGACCTTTTTATGCCAAAGGATGACAATTTGGAGCCATGGAACGTCGAGTTCATGTAGGTGGACCGAGTGGACACGACAGGCAGCAAGAGATGTCAATATTTTGCAAAATTTTATTTTTTATTTTCAAACCTTTGTATTAATTTAAGTAAAACGATCAAAATTTTCAGAAGTAATATCATTCTAATAACTACATGCATTTAAAATGAGAACGCATCGTAATTTAACCAATTGGAATTAAATTTATTTGAATACCAAACTGAAAATAAGAAGAAAAAGTGATATTTAAAACGGTTGCAATTTTTTTTTGTAATTAGGGGGATTATTTTTAAGTTTAGCTATTACGAAATCCAACGTGATAGCTACACTAAATACGTTTTTGTTTATAAGATATAGTAGTTATCAATGCATTAACGCTTTCTGAATTAGACTGATAGCAAACTATTTCAGCTATCAGTTTTGTGTGGTCAAAATTAACAAATATGGTTTTACTGGCTCCATAAAATCACCAAAAAAGCTCGGTAATTTTTACCGAAGCGCTTTGGTAATGGTTTTGGTTAAATTAATCATTAAATATAATGTTATAATATGTGATAAACTTCAATATACGGAGCAAATTTTGGTAATTTTTTCATAATACTTTATAGCATAGCATAAAAACCATTTTTTCAGTTAAATTCAATCTTCAGTCTTGTATTTTTTTTCTAAATGTGTGATTTATAAGAACAACAATTTTGAATAACTGATATTCCGGTAAACCGTTACCATATAAAGGAAAGCAATCCCAAATAAAATAATTTATAAATACCATATATTTTGTCTTTATCACTAGAATTATGTTTTTTTTTTTAACTAGAAATGCCATTGCCATACAGTAGAGTTTATTTGCGAGATTTTATTCCCTGTATAAAATGATAAAAAAGGAATTTTTGTAACTTTTTTTAATATTTTTAATAACTTTTCGCATTTTTTTTCATTTATGCATTTAAAAATAACTCAATAAAGCATGATCTAAAAAACTATTTCCACCTGATTACTTAAAATGACTTTATTTGAACTACATTTTCTCCAAGCCGTAAGAAAGATACTCTTCTTTGAAACCTCAACACATTCGACTTCAAAGATAAGAGTTTTTTTTTTGTTCGATTGATGGTCATAACTTAAATATGTGGGAAAAAGCCAAAATTCTGTTACAAGGAATAAAAGCAATGAAATAGCATCAATGGACTTTCTGTTGGTGTTTTAAAAGTCCTTGAACCCATGTACAAAATTACATTTATTTCTTACCACTTCAGGGCTTTCAAGATTGAAAAAAAAACATTTTTTTTAACACAGTAAGTTTAACTTAAATGTATATATCTTTTGGACGTTTTCTTAAATTCGATTGTGTCTTGTCAACATTTTAAGTTCATGATGATTAGTCAAACTGATTTTAAAGCTCCGTCCTTAACACACTCAATATGTTCTGTAGTCATTATTCTTAACAGGATTTATAATTCTTGTCAGGAAAGAAGTAAAATTCTCTATATATTAAAGAACTGAAATTAATTTTTAAGCCGAAATCACAATTGAAGACAAAATCGCAAAAATCACAATTGAAGAAGGAGAGATTAAAAACATCATATAACATTACCATTCCTCCGTCAATAAATATGGTTTTGATGTGTTTATTCCAGGTTCCATCAAACGTGATTTGTCATCTTATTAATAACTTGTGACATCGTTTGAGGATATTTTTTAACTTTATTACTTACTTCAATAATAGGCAAGGATTCTAAATTATATATTAAAATGTGTAAATGTATATTAATATTTTATATTAATATGCATTTACACATTTTATTATTACACACGCGCACGCACGCACGCACGCACACACACACACACACACACACACACACACACACACACACACACACACACACACACACACACACACACACACACACACACACACACACACACACACACACACACACACACACACACACACACACACACACACACACACACACACACACACACACACACACACACACACACACACACACACACACACACACACACACACACACACACACACACACACACACACACACACACACACACACACACACACACACACACACACACACACACACACACACACACACACACACACACACACACACACACACACACACACACACACACACACACACACACACACACACACACACACACACACACACACACACACACACACACACACACACACACACACACACACACACACACACACACACACACACACACACACACACACACACACACACACACACACACACACACACACACACACACACACACACACACACACACACACACACACACACACACACACACACACACACACACACACACACACACACACACACACACACACACACACACACACACACACACACACACACACACACACACACACACACACACACACACACACACACACACACACACACACACACACACACACACACACACACACACACACACACACACACACACACACACACACACACACACACACACACACACACACACACACACACACACACACACACACACACACACACACACACACACACACACACACACACACACACACACACACACACACACACACACACACACACACACACACACACACACACACACACACACACACACACACACACACACACACACACACACACACACACACACACACACACACACACACACACACACACACACACACACACACACACACACACACACACACACACACACACACACACACACACACACACACACACACACACACACACACACACACACACACACACACACACACACACACACACACACACACACACACACACACACACACACACACACACACACACACACACACACACACACACACACACACACACACACACACACACACACACACACACACACACACACACACACACACACACACACACACACACACACACACACACACACACACACACACACACACACACACACACACACACACACACACACACACACACACACACACACACACACACACACACACACACACACACACACACACACACACACACACACACACACACACACACACACACACACACACACACACACACACACACACACACACACACACACACACACACACACACACACACACACACACACACACACACACACACACACACACACACACACACACACACACACACACACACACACACACACACACACACACACACACACACACACACACACACACACACACACACACACACACACACACACACACACACACACACACACACACACACACACACACACACACACACACACACACACACACACACACACACACACACACACACACACACACACACACACACACACACACACACACACACACACACACACACACACACACACACACACACACACACACACACACACACACACACACACACACACACACACACACACACACACACACACACACACACACACACACACACACACACACACACACACACACACACACACACACACACACACACACACACACACACACACACACACACACACACACACACACACACACACACACACACACACACACACACACACACACACACACACACACACACACACACACACACACACACACACACACACACACACACACACACACACACACACACACACACACACACACACNCAATATTTTCCTAATAAATTACCAACAACATTTCGGCGAAGATTTTATAAGTGTAGTTTATAACCGAAGTACCATCGAAACTTTCAAAAAATCAATTTTCACATATTATAACTCAGGAAAATACTTATGCATTGTGTTCCGTCATGAAGTGGAAAATATGCCTATAGGGGACTACAAAGTAGTATGTTTATATTATAAATCCATAAGTAGCATAAATCCCCAAGAACGATATTGATATCTACTGAATCATTACTTACAGAGACACGGGAATGAAAGCGTAAAAAGCATTTGAAATCTGAACGACGATTATTAGAAACTCCTTAAGTTTCATCAAGCAATACTACTGGATTTGATGTTTAGCAATC